TAATACAATCTAATATGTTCAAACAAGCCCGATTAGGATTTAATTTAAATAATATTGTTTAATACCGACCGCGCATCGCGCGGGTACGAGTACTAGTGCTTTTAGAAAACAAATTGCGTGAGGACTTCAATTAGCAACATTCCTAACCATGCTTTTATTACATCCCTCTTTGGTTACACATTCTTATGATCTCTAGCTAGTAGTTAATACCTCTCGACACGATGTCCATGAATCATGTAGGATTAGGATTACTTCAGCTGGATGAAACTTCCATCATGTTAATTACTAGTTGATGCAACAACATATGCATATGCTATAAAGACGATTAGACATCCAATGAGCTCAATGCTTTCCTAAGTAAACAACTCTTTTCAGCTAGCTTAGTAATGACTATTTGGTTTTTCATGTCTTTCTACATTCTTTATGCATTACTTGCAAGTCCAGTAAACATGCTAGCTTAGTCAACCTATGTTGGTGATTACTAGGCTTTTCCTTTCCAGTTTTAGTCCTGTTTGTTTTCAGATTCTTATGTAGTTGATTCTGTATGTTAATTCAATGAAATATTTGTACTCTCTACAAATTATAAAACACCAGATCCGTTGGTTTCTGGATCAAAAGCAATATCTCGGTGCATATCATGGCTTTATATACACATGCATTTGCTTGTTTATTTGCAGAAAACATCTGAAACCAATATTGAGAATCGGAAAAAGTTGAAGCATCCACACACTGCTGGCAAAACAAGTTTTGCTCGAATCATCGAGGTTTGATTTTTTTCTCTTATTTTCTTTAAACTATGAACTTGCTAACTTTGAATGAAAACATTATTATACCAGTTTTCATGTTACTAGGTAAAAAAAGGAAAATGGCTGATACTTCAGATACTCTTTACAGTAAGACATCTTTGTGGCTACATAAAAAGAAAAACCCTGGTCGAGTATACAAAACGCGCTTATNTTTAGAGATTTTAAAAGGGAGCCTTGTAGCAACAATAAAGTTATCTCTGTGTGACATATAGGTCACGAGTTCGAGCCGTGGGGCAAATGTCTCTTAATTTATCAATTTTTTTTATCTTTTAGAGAAGTTAAAAGGGAGTCTTGTAGCAACATAAAGTTATCTCTGTTTGACATATAGGTCACGAGTTCGAGCCGTGGGGCAAGTGTCTCTTAATTTATCAATTCTTTTTTTTATCTTTTAGATAAGTTAAAAGGGAGCCTTGTAGCAACAATAAAGTTATCTCCGTGTGACATATAGGTCACGAATTCGAGCCGTGGGGCAAATGTCTCTTAATTTATCAATTTTTTTTTATCATTTAGAGAAGTTAAAAGGGATTCTTGTAGCAACATAAAGTTATCTCTGTGTGACATATAGGTCACGAGTTCGAGCCGTGGGCCAAGTGTCTCTTAATTTATCAATTTTTTTTTTTTTATCTTTTAGAGAAGTTAAAAGGGAGCCTTGTACAACAATAAAGTTATCTCTGCGTGACATATAGGTCACGAGTTCGAGCCGTGAAGTGCGGCTCTTATCTGTACCCTTCTTGCGGCCCTTCCCCGACCCTACGTGAATGCGGGATACCTGTGCACCGACTCCGAGCTGCCCTTTTGGTCTTTCAGATAAGTAAAAAGCATGTTCTCTTGATTTGAGGAAGCAAAACAAAGCAATCTTAGCTTTCAATGTAAGAAACAGTTAAAAGGCATTGTCCCATTACTTGTATTAAATGTGATAGGTTACTTATTGTCTTCTTGACAAGATTTTCTCCTCTGGCTACAGCAAGTATATGCTAAATGAAGCTACCATGATTATACAACATGCCATTAAAACATTAAAATAAAAGAAAACAAGAGGGGGAAAAGTAAAGAAATAAAAACTCTGCCAATAAATATGCAAACAGTATTTGAATGTCAAAGTACCATTAATTTCTCAATCAATCTATATGGAGTTCATAAAAGTAGTGTCCACATCTTTAACTCTTCCAATTCTTGCTGTTATCTTCTGTTTCTGTCTTAATAGCAGCCAATGCCATCCTTTAGACCCTCTAAATCCTACTGAGATCAACAAGATTAGAGTCATTATTCAAAAATCTCATCTTAGTTCCCTCTCCAATTTAACATTTCACTTTGTTGATCTTGAAGAGCCTGAAAAACAGGATGTCCTTCATTGGCTGTCCTTACATAAGCGCGAAAGTGTTCCTTTTCCTTATCGTCGAGCCAAGGTAGTGGTTCGTGCAAATGGTGAGACGTTTGAAGTCGTTGTAGACTTGGCTACGCGATCTATCATATCAGAAAATGTATATACTGGTCATGGTTTCCCTCCACTTACTCTCGACGAAATTGTACAATGCAGCAGGCTGACATTGAGGAATCCTAAATTTCAAGATTCAATATTGAAAAGGGGTTTGAATATATCAGAAGTTAGTTGCATACCACAGCCAGTAGGATGGTTCGGGCAGCCAAGGACACGAAGAGTACTTAACGTTCCATGTTTTTATCGCAATGGGACAACTAATTTTTGGGCAAGGCCAATTGAAGGGATCACTACAATATTAGATGTTGAATCCATAAAGATAATCAAATATATGGACAGATTCAGAGTCCCTTTGCCTGAAGCCGAGAGTGCTGATTTTCAATCATCGAGCCAGAGATCAGTCGCTTGCAATGACACAGACACAAGCCGGATTATCATCAAAGGCAATGAAGTTAAATGGGATAATTGGGTTTTTCATGTTGGATTGAACACGAGGGCGGGGACTATCGTGTCTACAGCTTCTATATTCGATGATACAAGAAAAGAATATCGACATGTGCTCTATAGTGGTCATGTATCTGAGACATTTGTGCCTTATATGGATCCTACATTTGAATGGTACTACAGGACTTTTATGGATATAGGTGAATTTGGTTTCGGAAGGTCTGCTAGTAGTCTTGTCCCGTTACTAGATTGTCCGAACAATGCAGTGTATATGGACGGATATATGGCTGATTCAGAAGGACATATAGTGCAAGTTCCCAACGCGATTTGTATATTTGAAAGATATGTTGGCGATGCTGCTTGGAGGCATACAGAAAATGGAGTACCGGGAAATATAGTAAGCGTCTAAATATAAACATTTGCATACTTACTACTATAGTTATCTAGTGACATAATCAACATTCAATTTGTTTTTGCAGAACACTAAGGGACAGCAAGAAGTTAATTTGGTTGTTAGAATGGTAGCAACAGTAGGAAATTATGATTATACACTTGATTGGGAGTTCAAACAAAGTGGAACTCTCAGAGTTGGAGTAAGAAAATTAAGATGTTATGCTTGTTAATATCCTTCTGATTTGCAATGTTTATTCTTTAGACTTCTGGAAGGGGAACCTTAGCGTAACTGGTAAAGTTGCTACCATGTGACCAAGAGGTTACGGGTTCAAGCCGTGGAAATAGCCTCTTGCAGAAATGCAGGATAAGGCTGCATACAATAGACCTTTGTGGTCCGACCCTTCTTCAGACCCCGCGCATAGCGGGAGCTTAGTGCACCAGACTATCCTTTTTTCTTTAGACTTCTGATTTGTCCGTGCAGGTAAGTTTAAACGGAGTTATGGAGACGAAGGCTGTGAAATATACGAACGATAATCAAATAACAGAGGATGTTTACGGGACCCTTGTGGCCAAAAATACAATTGCAGTTAACCATGATCATTTCCTTATTTACTATCTTGATCTTGATATTGATGGTACTGATAATTCATTCCTAAAAGCCAAACTGAAAACTAGAAGAGTGAAGGACTCAAAAATTTCACCTAGGAAAAGTTATTGGAAAGTTGTTAAGGAAACTACGAAAACAGAAAATGAGGCTAAGACACACCTAGGACTAGAACCAGCTGAATTCTTGATTGTAAATCCAAATAAGAAAACAAAGATTGGACATGATGTATCTTATCGACTAATACCTAGTCGACCAGCCATGTCGTTGCTATCATACGACGATTATCCTCAACTTCGAGCAGCCTATACAAAGTATCAATTGTGGGTGACACCATACAACAAATCAGAAAGGTGGGCCGGAGGATTCTACACTGATAGGAGTCGAGGAGATGATGGCCTACCAATCTGGAGTCGCAGGTAACTATAGTATGTAACAGTCAAGCCCACTAGTGATATTGTTTGCATTAGACCTAAGTCCACACAACTTTAAAACGCATCACTAAGGTCTAAGACGTCTTTATATAAGCTGGTTTTCTGTTTTATATATGCAGGAATAGGCCTATTGAAAACAAGGATATTGTGCTTTGGTACACTGTTGGACTCCATCATGTACCATGTCAAGAAGATTTTCCTGTAATGCCTTCATTTTATGATGGTTTCGAGCTCCGGCCAACAAATTTCTTTGAAAGAAATCCATTGCTGAAACAATGATATACCTTGATAAATTGATATATAATTTGAGCAAGTGCAAATTTCAAGTTCTTCTATTAAACAGTAACCTTTTAACTCTACTATATAAAGTGTACTAGTAAATTTTGTTGTAATTTATATGGAGAACAAAAGATGATCTTCTTTAGCCTGTTTATTTTCCTCTCTCATTTCGATATTTGGTTGACATGTAGATCGATATGCACAAGTACGTAGGTGACAACTCGCCTGAAAGACGACCATCCCCTTACATTTTCGATGTGAAACAACATGTACCTCACACGGCTGATAATGAGATACAAGTTGTGTGAGTGTTGCCTATGTTTTGACAATTTGAATTTGTGGGACCCGAAAACTTCTATAACATAGATTTGGGTCCACATATTTCACTCGTCAGACATAGACAATCCCCTCACATAATATGTCAGTTGTATAAGGCACAAAGTAAAGTTTCTCTAGAAATATGTATGTGCGTGTTGGGTAATAAAACAATCAATTTGCACAAAGTATAAAGCAAAAAACAACTTTTATAGATTAAATTTTTCTTTTGCAAACAAAACTGGAGACAAAATTTGATATAAGGATAGGCAGATAGGAAGAAAGAAAAAAAACAACAACTAACAATCTTTTGATAACAAAATAGCCAATCTAGAATAGTTTCTTCCAAACAGGATGCTTCATCCAAACACTTTCCACCATAGAATCAATTGGAATTCCCTTTGTTTCAGGCAAAAGGAAGATAACAAAAAATCCCATAACGACGATCCATCCGGAGAAGAAGAAGAAGATATAGGCTTGCATTGTGCACAGCATTGTCAAGAATGCCTGTGCAATGAGGGAAGTGAAGAGCATGTTAGTACTGACCGCGAACGCAAAACCAGCCGTTCTTGTTTCCAATGGGAATGTCTCACTTGGAATTAGCCACCCGAGCGGTCCCCATGACCACGCGAATGACATTACATACGTGCACACCAGAAGAACCACCACTGCTGCTAGTTTCTTGTCCAATGTTCCTGTCTCCCTCAAATTTGTTACCAATATAGCTCCAATTGCAACCTGAAACATTAAAACCAAACTGCTATCAGAAAAACTGACAAAGGCTTCTCATAGGGGTAAACTGTGCGTACACACTATTCTACTCAGACCCTACAGTATGGGATAATACTGGGTATGTTGTTGTTGTTATTGTTGATGGTAGAATCGTTCTCACTCTGTCCCAATTTTATGTGACAGTGCTCACATTTACGAGAGTCAAACTTTTTTAGTTTACCATGAATCGGACCTATAAAATCTTTAAATTTTTTTAAATATTTGAAAACTACGTAACAAATACTATAACTCACAATAATTAATAATTTACAATATTTATNATGGCATATATACAAATAAAGAGAAAATATTCACTTACCACAAAGGAAAGGAATCCTCTACACAAGTATTCACATGCTGGTACTCAATGAAGAATTTACATATTCAAGAAAGGAAAGTGGAGACAATTAGGATCTGTCCAAGTACATGAAGTCAAATAAGGAAAGGAAATCAATATTACAAAGATACCCATATCCATCTTCAAAGGAGTGCCAAGTCAACATACTATCCATATTCATACAAGTGCTGAAGCTGCAAATTAAGGAAACAAATAAATGAGCAACGGTCAAATCCCCTTGGGTTATGCAATAGCCATAATAAGTTGAGAAGGCTATAAATATACAAGCTTGATGAAGGAAGAAAGTACGCAACCTTCTATACAATTGTCTACCAAAGTACAAGTTCTCTATTCTACTCTTAACAAGCATTGTAATTCACTTTAGTAGATTTACTGTGTACCCAAAAGAGAGAAGAGAGACAAAATATTGGAGAGGCAGTGTGTCCTAGAGGTTGTGTCATTGTTCGTTTCTTTGGTGAGCGAGTGAAAACCAAAGGGTCGTTGTTGGTGAGCGAGTGAAAACCAACCCTGTCAATGCATACAAATTGATATATCAAAAGAATAACCTCAAAATTTTTAT